GAATAAGATTTTTTCTTTTGTCAGATTGTGTTTATATGAGTATTGAACACTTATAACTGGATCTTTTAAATATACATGGAAAAACTATAGTAAAAACAAAAGTTTTGTCATCAAACTTAGTACATGACGAACATTAAAATTTAGTTTAGATTTAAAGTTTGAAAAATACTTTACAAAGGAAACTGGAGCCTACTGTATGCTTCATATTTTATAATAAAGCTTTTGGCTCAGAGAAAGTCAATCAATAAAACTGCGTAGCATTAGCACATGCTCACACAGCACAGAACATGCACACACACAGCACAGAACATGAAAATATGCAATTGAAAAATTTTATTCACACAATAATCTTCAATACCACTGAACCAGCTTATTAAGAGAAGATAATTTCATTTAAGTTATGACAAAGAAAGTAGAAGATATATCTAGTCAATTAAATAGTCAACTAGCAAACGAATGAGAAGAAAATAGAACAGTTTTAAGGCCTATAATAAACAATTACATTTTGAGGTGAAAATGAACTTCCTGTAAGAGGCGATGATGATAGTGAACCCGTAGCTCTTCAAAATTTAAAAAAAAAAGATGAAAAGTTTAGAGCTTTATTTAGATTTAAAAGAAACTCTGTTGATGATAATTTAAAAGAACGCATTTTAAATTGTAAAAATGCTTTATATTTTAGTCCTGAAATATTAAAATGAGATGTTGAAAATAAGTTCAACTATTATTGAAGAAGAAAGATAAAAGAAGCAGAGACGAAATAATGATATATCCACAGTTAAACATTGATAATTGTGTATTAGATTATTGATTTTACTGATAATCAACCAAAAGTATGAGAAGATTTTGTAGGATTTATTCTTATGTATGAGTAAACTGGCGAAAACATTGCAAAATCTATTTTAGAACATGTTACGAAACTGTTATTGATATGAATATTTGTGTATGCCAGGGATATTATGGTACCTCTAATATGAGTGGCACATATAAAAGTACTTAAACCAAAATACATCAGTTGTACGTAATTTATGTTCATTTTACCAATCACAGTCATTCTTGCATTATTCATTATTATGTTAGTGACTAATATAAGAAACTGTTTAGATATTACAATATTTGCTATCAAAACTCTAAAAGATGCAATTCAATTTCACATTCCAGATTGTAAAAAGAAAAGGCTTAGTAACTTGTGCGAAACTAGGTTTATTGAACGTCACAATAGTTCATTGAACTTTGTTGTTTGAATTTATTTGTATTAGTCTCAAAAAAAATTGCTCAATCTGGTCACGAAAACTCGGGAACAGCTATTATGTTGTGTTCAGCAATAAAAGAAAGCAGTTTCTTAATTTCCCTCTTAGTTTGTGAAAAGATCTTAAGCATTACACTTCTATTATCCATATTTCTTTAGTGTTTCTTACGATTCAGTGCTATTAAAATGTACCAAAGATATCTCTACTCTAGAAGATTCAAGAAAAAATTCCGAAAATGAATTTGAAATACCCTTTATTTCTGCAAAGATACTTTTGGTACTGAGATTCAAATTCCAAGGATTAATTCCAAGAGACAGACTTGTAGAGATTATCATTCAATATAGTCCAGTCGACATAGATTTGACCCCTAAAAATCCTATGAACAAGCTGAATTTTTCCAAGAGTATTAGTTTTAGAACTCCAAAACATATGTAAAAAAGTTTACCACTCCAAAAAAAGTAGAAAAATCAAATTTAACTACACTCAAGTGCAAAATAATGACTCAAAATTATTTTGCGAAACTACATCTCCTGTTTCAATCTAAAAAGTATAAACTTAAAAATATTTAGTGTACATTAACCTCATTATTGAGTCTTACCAAAAGTTTTGTTTATTGGTGAATTTGATGACGTATTTCATATAAATAATGCCATACATAGAAAAGGAGTCAGAATTTGACTCATAGAAATCGACACGCACCGACTTAACGCGTTCGGTTAACATCGTACGCATCAATTTTCATAACAACTCACCAATACAACAGTCACTTAAGTTCGCAACTGCATTACAAATGGATACCACATCCGTTAAAGCAGCTCAAGCAGTAGCATTATTGAGAGAAGGCCTGAGCCAGAGCTGAGTGGCAAATCAACTAAATTTAAACCAATCTGCTGTCTACCTAGTGTATCGTCGGTATCTAAATAATGGTGATTATTTCAGGTCGTAAACGACGAATATCGAATATGTATGTATCGAAATCCCCTGAGAAATCGGACATTTGATTGGTGCTAACCTCAAAGAAGAACTTTGAGAGATCCGAGATGTGGTTACCAGCATTTGGTAGGTCAGAATGAGACTGAAGGCAGCCAACCTGACACCAAAAAGAGCAGCTACAGGTCCCTAACTAACTGCATCCCAGAACCAAAGGCGATTAATATTTGCTTGTGAACATCTAGATTGAGATGACTATCAATGAAGTCAGGTATTATTCTCAGACGAAAGTAGGATATGCCTAAATGGCAATGACAAGAGGCGTCGAGTCTATAGAAGGCTAGGAGAGCAATTTGCTCAATGTTGTATATGAGAAATTGTGTTATATGGAGGCGGTTCTTGTATGTTTTGGCCAGGCATTTCCATGGTTGGGAAAATTCAGTTGGTTTTCATACCTGGTGGAATTTTGGAGAAACATGTAATTCCATACGTGGGATTTATTGGTGATACCTTTATGTTAATGCACGATGCCATAACGCACGAGTCACCACCACCTATCTGACTAATATCGGTATACCTACAATAAATTGACCGGCGTTGAGCCCGGACATAAATCCAATAGAGCATGTTTGGGATGAGCTTAAACGAAGGCTCCGAGCGATTTCTCTATTCATAGCGTCTTTCTTGCGTTAGTTCCAATAATGAATATTTTGGAAACTCTGTCCTTATTGCATATTGTTTTTATCATGCGTCTTTCAAATAATGGAATAGCAGTTCGCAGTTCTTGTAATTTCAATAATAAAGCAATTGTTTGCATATTTCATCTTTTTATTTTCATACTTCTTACAGTGAAACAGAAGGAGTAATTTCAAATATCGCTTTTGAGTCAATTGTTTTGCACTTAAGTGTATATTGACATATTCACTTTTATTATTATGCAGGCTGTTTTATTTAAAACTTTGAATTTTGCATTTCAATAAATATTTCTCTTAGTTATAACATTTATATGAGCATTGATTTCAAATAATGCAATTTAAAAGAAATAGATTAATGTCATGAAAACCATAGTTTATAAATTTTTTTTATTATATATTTTTTTAAACTGGAAGTCAATTGTTTTTCTTAGAAATACTGTCTTTTAAATGCTGTTTCTCATATACCTACTTATTAATCAATAATACTTACAAAAATAGTTTATGAGGAGTCAGGATCATTGTATTGTCATCATTTTTCTGTGCAAGTTTTTTCGTTAATGACAAACTATTACTTACTCAAAAAATATATGTTGAAAACAGTAAGTATTCTTGTTATAAAAAAAATTATAAAAATTATTATTATAAAAAAATTGAATAATTCATTGATGGACTGAAAGGGGACTAGAAATGGGGGGTGGGTGAACTTAAACGAGTTTACACCCCCGTAATAAAATCCTGGCTACTTCACTGAGGTACAGTTGCTTTCAAAATTGAATATAAATGCAGTGAAACGAGTCTTTAACTGATTATAAAAAAATTATATTTTTTTACAAACATAATAATAATTTTACAAATAAAACCTCATTTTTGTTTATCGATACTAGAAAAAAAAATACTGGCAGTAATTAATCATTAAATTTTGCTAATAATCTATTTAAAAAATAATCAAATGTTTTAAAACAAAATCTTCAGGATTAATTAAAATAATAGACTTCAAAACATTCTCAGTGATTATCCTATCTATCAAATCGAGTTGCATTTGATTATGTCAAACGATAATAATGTATTTGTAAATAAGATTCTTATTGCCGAAAATATTTGAATTATTCCAAGGTTATTTTGTTATTTGCATAACCCCATAAACATTGTTTTGATATTCTTAAAAAATTCATTAAGATAAGTTAGTTACCTACTTATTCGTTCAGACAAGAGCATTAACTAATATTAAATCTTATGACTAAAGAAATGTTGTTTATTCCTAACTTGATGAATAATCCCTATAATTTACTCAGTACTTATTGTCAGTGAGCTAAAATTAAACCTTAGTTTGATTGGAAGCAGTGTAGATAACATTGTGAATGACACTTGTATATCAATGTTACAGTTTCAATTGATAATATTAGACTTTCCCATTTATCATTTCATTAATGTATCACTCCCACCGTTTGGCTCTCCTATAACAGTGTTAAGTCATATGTGATTTAAGTTATTTTTATTTTCTAGTAAATGTTAATTCATTGAACAATTTTTACAGTTTTTATAGTTTACCTAATGAGAATTTATTTTTACTTTGTCGCACTATAAAAAAGCTTGATTTTAATATTTAGTATGTATTATTCTTTCAATATTTCAATCCCTTTTATCTGCACGTTTGAAGGTTGGTAATGTTGGTATATCAACAATAGAGGTGACATAAAAAATGTAAAACAGCACACTTCCGAAATCAATAAACATTTATAATCTAAATATAGAACATGTTATCAGATTTATAGACTAAGAGCTTATGAGTATTTATTTCAAGTAGGCAAATTTTTTAATATATTTATTATTTTAAGTCATTGTCTTCTCATGGTCTTCTTCTTGGTCATCTTTATATATACTGCTTTTAAGGATTGGTTTTTTTTTTCGGTACTTACAATGCTATAAATTTGGAAAAGATGAAACAAAAGTTGGCCGGGATACGGCTTAATTAATATGATATGAAGAAGGAACTACTGCCGATAAAGTGTCCGCAAATTTGCTAAACGTTTAAGGGAGACACTGAGGATTTTCTTAGCATTCTTCTTTAAGTGCCATCTGTTATTAACAGGTTTTGTTTACGATAAATGCATCCATAATATAGTTCACCATGACCATGAGAAAAATTTCTTCAAAATGGATCCCCAAATATCTGAATGTGGACCAGAAGAAAGCAAAGATCTGTGTTCCGTTTGAAAAAGATAAAAACTTCTTAAGCGATCTTGTTACTTTTGATGAAACACAGAAACTTTTTTTAGGGGAAGGAGGTGGTAAAGACCGTACCAGGCCGTGTCCCGTTAAGGATGCCTTGGTGTGCGTTGGATTCAGGGTGGGAGGATCCATTCGCACGCAGTCCTCCCAGAGGAGTAGTGCTCACAGATGCAACCATAGCTCCCTGCCTACCAACTAAAGTCCATCCCATAAACCAGACTAATCATGCGGTAGGTCCTTTCCCCAGACCAGCCACATCACATAAATAGCCCATCTCGCTATGGCTCTCTCTCTCACACACACACACTCTCTCTTTCTTCTTCTTCTTTTATGATTCTGACAATTTGAGTTACTGCCTCCAGTGTCTCCTTGTATTCAATCTTCCTTCTCATTGTTACCTGTATTATTGCATTTGTGATTACCCTACCTACCTTTTTGTGTAATTCGTTCCTGTTGTCATTGAAAATTCTGCACTTCAACACACAGTGCTCGGCCGTATCAGACACTCCACATTCTACGCAGTTTTCATCCTCTACTTTCCATATCCTTTCTAGGTAAGCCCTGAGGGAGTCGTGCCCGAGGAACTGAGTGAAAAAGTAGTTAGTGTCTTTCGCCGCATTTCATACAGTCTACGATATTTGGAATTAATACCTTCCTGTGGCTCCCTATGCTGCTACTCCTAGCTACTGTTTTCTCCTGCTCATCCTTCCCGTAGGTTTCCGCTCTTTAACACACCGTGATCACTTGTATGCTTACCGTTGATTTTGTTTTGTATGTACTCAGTGCTTTTCTTTGGGGCTTTTTCTAGCATTTTCTTCTATATTTGTTGATGTTAAGCACTTGTGCCATACCGGTGCCTCATAGAACACAGTATGGGTGGACCACTTCTATTAAAATTCTCCTTTTGGCAGTCCCTGATCCTCCCACATTGGACATAATCCTTGTCAGTGCCGAAAAATTCTCTCTTATGCCTTGCGAACGACTTATTTACTTCTTGTACTCACCAAAGGTTCGCCTCGTATCTACAACTACTTTACTTTTTTGGCAGGTACGATCCTTTCTGCTTCCAGAACAAAAACTATATGGTCTCTGGCTTTCGGATCATTGTGTAGAACGTTCCAAGGCAATGGCCCCTGAATGAAGCCTTGCGTCACACCCGCCGTGGTCCTCATAGAGTTACCCCTCGCAATAATGATGCATCTATCTGTGAAGTAGTTCCTGACCAAGTTCTGCAGATAGGCAAATATCCCGAAATCGCCCGGTAGTCTGACGATTCCAGCGAGCACTGTTAAAAGCATTTCTTATATCGAAAAAGAAATACATATAGATATAGATATCTCCCTCTTGATCCTGCTTATGGTGTCTACCATATTTTCCTAGCAGATTTTCGTTTCCTGGACGCATACTGCCACCTTTCTCCCTTATTTTCCTCTCCCTTAGAAACAAAGTAGCAATAAATAGAATGAAGGTCGTAAAAAAATCGTGTTGAAGGTCTGCTGGTGTCTGTGACCCCGATAATTGTGTGCTTTTTGTACCTTGATGCTCTCGCCTCATCTGTGGGTTTGTGGAGACTGTGACTGACCGTGGTTCCCCCCCGCCCGGCGTTCTCTTAGTTTTAATGTTTTGGGTTTTGGTTTTTTATTAAGGGTGGGTTAAGTATGGAAATTAGGGTTCTGGTCCTTTGGTGTTGGGTAATGAGGTATTTTTATGGAAGGGGAAGGCGGTTTTATTATTGTGTGTGGGGGGGCTTTGTGATGGGGGTCGGTATTAAGAGTTGGGATGTTCTTGTAGAATAATAGTTTTCTTTTTGTTGTTTGGAAATATAATAGTTTTTTTTTATTAGTTATAATAATTGGAAATTTGTGCTGGCTGGCTTGGTATTTTATTAAGCTGCGGCCTCATTTTGAAATTGTCTTTGTGTTGTGTTTGTTTGGTGTTGTTATTGTTTGTGGTGGGATTGGATGGGGGGTTTAGTGTGGAATGGTGTTTGGGATTGATATGTGGTATGGGGGGAGGGTGCGGGGGTGAGCACATACACACCCCGTTCGCTTTGGAATGTTTTGATTTGGATTGTTTGTTGGGTGTTTTTTAGTTTTTGTAGATTTGTGCTTCTTTTGTTGTGTGTTTGAAAGTTTGAAAAGTTGATGTTGAAATTTGAAATGTTGAATGATTTTTGGGGTTTTGGTTCGGTTTGATGGATGAATTTTTTTTTGGGTGAAAGGTCTTTCTTACCCTGCTTGGAGCCTTGCTTGATCTCTGCCGAGGCTGCTGGGGAGAATATGGTATAGTGTTTGCTTTAGTTTTTGAGATTGAGATAATCATGATTGATTTTCATTTTGGTCTGAATAAAGGTAGAAAAATAACTGTGAATTACTATCTGACTTTACTGAGCACTTCATTGAAATAAATATGCAGAGTTGTCCAAAGGTAAATGTTTTTTGCAGGACAATGCCTCTGCATACAAATCACATGTTACCGTGAAAATTACTCGAACACTTGCCTTATTCCCAAGATCTGGGTAGCCTTATTCTGTCCGATATAATTATTTCCTAACGGAAAAGGATCAAAAGGTCGTAAATTTTCTTTCAGCAAAGTGGTGATAAAAGTTGGGAAGACCTAGTTTGCAGAACAAGATAATGTTTTTGGAAGGTCTACTAAAGACAGGTGTATCCAAATAAGAGGAGAGTATTTTTGCTTCCATAATAGGCTTAATTTAATCTGCTTTTTACAATCTGGTTCACAACCAGTTATAGTCTTGTTTTGGTTTTGGTGTGTCCTAGGTATTTAATTTTTTAGGTACCACCCATATGCTAGTTCTTCTAGATTTATGTTAGTTTACACAATGTTTTACAGACTGCTGTCATTTGGAAACACATAAAAATAATGAAATTATTAAAATCAATAGTTTTCAGTTTTCCATACATGTTTTTTTTTAATTCATTTATATTTTTAAATAAATTAAAAACGCTTTTTGTTTCAGTTTAGCCAACCATGGCGTACACTCGTCCAAAGGACATGGATGGGTTTTATGCCCATTTGTCAAAACCAGACACAAAATTTCGACAGCAAGTAGGTACCGATCTTCTAACTTTTTTGGCTGAGCCATCGAATCCTATTGACTGTCAAGATATTGGTCTGTTTGTAGACGGAATAATTCCATGGATGCAAAGTAGTAATTATAAGGTAAGTGAATTAAGAATCGTACCTTCTCTCGTGTCATTATGAAAAATCAATATGAACATTAGTTTTAGTCGTTTACGTTTGAAAGGAGTGTGTTTTTTGGTGCTGGTTAATGATCCTTCATTCATCATTGACAGTACATTTAAATATATTGTAAAGACAAATGTGTTTAAGTTAACATTTGTGATGCACAATAAAAAATATGTCAATAATAATAAAAAATAGAAGAAAAAAATATTCCAAAATGGCTCTATATTTTTAAAGGATCAGAGACATCACTACATTTTTCAGGTCCTTTCAACCCCGGAAAAACTTTTACCAGATTGTGTTTTTTGTTCTAAGATTCAAATCTGGATTGGCCGGAACAGCAGACCACTTGTATGGATTTTTACCAAAATAAAACTTTCCATTTGTTGTTTCTGGCTCCTCTTCTTCGTCACCTATAGCGTGACTTTCTTGTGTTTTTCCCTTGATTGAATGAGCATCGTTCCCCCGATCTTCTATCTCAGAATCAGAGTTATGGTCACTCTCTAGAGAAAAATCTTTGTCGTTGTAGTCCTTTTAATCACTAAACTCGCTTTCTAATTCACATCTTCTAATCTTCTCAATAACTTTCTTTCAAGAGTATTAATACGGTTGATTGTTTTGTCTTTGGCATTTTCTTTAATTTCCACTTTTTGAAGGGACCATTTCTCCCTTCCTCGTCGACCCTGACCCTACCTTCCAATGGGGTTGGTTACCCAATTGAAGGTTGCTCAGGTTTGCTGGGCTTCACCCGAGCAACTAAACCGGTGATAGCACACGAAGCGGAAGTAATATGTGTCACGAAAAAAGATGAAGATAAACTAAGAATAATTGAAACAAAAAATTCATGATCATAAGTGGCTCGACAATCTGTTGTGGATCTTCGCCTGCTCACAAAGAAATCGTCACTCCTGTCGATTCCTGGCAACTTCCCTCCATCTTCTAACCCTTAGAATATGTAGGTCTTCTTCCACACCATCAATCCGTCTCATTCGTGGTCGTCCTCTGTTTCTTGTGCCCTCTGGTTTTGAAAATGTTAATTTCTTCGTGTATTCGTGATCTGACATCCTAGCAATGTGTCCAGCCCATCGAAGTCTCTGAAAGAAAAATTATGAGAAAATGAACCATACCTCACAGCCTCCTATCTCTTCATATGCACTTTTTTCCTCATATAACTGCCTTCTTCTTCTTCGTGTACCATATCAGAATTATCCGACGTTGACGATCACCATTGCGAAGGCCGCTCAATCTTATGCAATATGGAATAATTGTCCTGCATTTGATACCTTCCAGTCCATTCACGATTTTTTTTAACCAAAAAACTTGTTTTCTTCCTACACCTCTACGGCCCTCTATCTTGCCTTTAAGGATCAGTTAAGATAAGACATTTTTCGATATTTAACAGTCTTTAGCAGTTCTCTACCTTTATTGACGCTCCTTAGTACTCATTAGTTTTCCTTGCTGTCCAAGGTATTTTCAGCATTCGTTTATGAATCCACATTTCCAATGCTTCGATTTTGTTCATGATCGATACTTTTAGCATCCACACTTTTGCACTATACAAACGTACGGACCAAATATAGCACTTAACCATTCTTTGTCTTAGTTCTAAACTGAGATGATTCTTGCAAAGAAATGACTTCATTTTCATAAAAGTAGTTTTAGTCATTGCTATTCTACGTTTTATTTCTATGTCTGGATCTAGTTCGTCCTTTATCACAGTTCCCAAATATGTCATTTTGTGAACTTTCTCAACTTGGACTCCGTTTAATTGAAGCTTTGCATCGGGATGTGGGTCACGACTGAACATTAAAAATTTGATTTTGTTTGAGCTTATTTTAATGCCCATTTCCTCTCCTACCTTGTGAATACGATCAAGCAGAATTTGGACACCTTCAATATAACTGCCTATCCTATTTTATTAATTAACCTATTCAAATACTTCACTTGCAGGTTCAACACCAGTTGAAAAAATAAACATATTATATCGTAAAAATGCATCTTTCTGCGAATAAGATTTTAGTAGGTTGACGTAGACAACTAAAAGATTTCTTGTAAACTAAAGCGGGGCGCCATATTTTTAACAGCCTTGCTGATGACTAAAAAGGAAACTGTACACAGTATTGTTGATTTTCAAATAGATGATTCATAATATTTATACGTCATAAAAGATACTCTTCAATGGTATTGTCGAAATCCAAAACTGATTAAATGGAATCCAATTTTGTGGATTTATTTCTGCTTTTAATCTGTTTAGGATAAGTCGGTTGAGCTATAAATATCTACTTAAATAAAATGAGCTGAAAATTGATTATCAGCTTATTCAACTTTAAGAGAATATACCGTGTATATCAAAATTAAAAAAGTATATACTAATATTAAAATATTCTCATATTGGCGAATTAATTTTAAAAAACCGTTTTTCTGGTAGAAGTTTTTAACTGTTTATTTAGTTACCTCATTTGAAATATCGATGGCTAAAGTGTAAAACCTATTAAGTCGAATTTTATAAATTTTACAGGAGAGACAAAAAACTGATTACTTTTTTTAATAAGGCGTTCCCGTTTTGGTGTTAGCGATATAAAAAATTATAATTACACCTCTTTTTAATGGTATGCAAGTACATTAAATTGGATTTGATTTTTCAAAAAAAAAATCGACTTACGAGGTTTTGTTATATTTTTTTTAAATCATTTTTCAACTTGCGATGTTTTGACATGAAGAGTATTATCTGGTTAAGGATTTTAATACAATATTTTGTTTAATTAGATGATTAAAAAATATTAATGAAACAATACGAACAAAACTAAAAACTTTATTCGACAGAAATACAAAAAAAAATAAAAAAAAGTTTGAGTTAGTGAGATAAGTTGTCGTAGAATAGCCTAAAATCTTCTGGAATATAGTTTTTTAATTCTTGAAGATGTTTAAATTTATCAGGCTTAATTTTTAGAGGAGCGTTATGCAATTGGGGTATATCCAAATTATCTTGAATTGCTCTTGTACGCCTTGGTAATGGTGTCCAATGGTCCTGGTATAATAATTTATACTCAATCGCACCATCACAACGGTATGCCAGTGCTCTAAGATCAGTTACTTTAGGATCTCCCTTAGTATTGCCAGGACGAATTGAAGAAAATGTTTTGATTACCGAGTAATCTTTAAAAAAGGAATAATTTAAGTAGTCAACTTCATAAGAATCTTTTGCCTTAGCAGACCTACAAATGTCCAACATAGCATCCCGGTACATACACGACACGATTTCTAAGTTTACGCTCAATACACGCGTGAATCGAGTCACACTCCATTTGAGTATGACCCTTTTCTAGATAATATTGAAATATTTCTACACCTGATGTTCTTGATAAGTAAGAAAGAGCATTCGAAAGCGTAACATTTCGAGTTTGGTAGCAGCATCCGTCGCTGAAGCAAACAACGGATTTAGTAGCAGGAGATAAATTTCTTTTGATATAATCTATGATAATGGAAGTGAACTCGTTTGCTTCAACCCCACCTGAACCCTCATGCCATACATAGCAATGGCCTTTGCCAGTGGATAAATTATAGAAGCTATAGTTGTGAACATTTAGCTTCATTTTATAATATGCAGCTGATACTTGTAATCTTGGTGCTGTTAATATTGCCTGTGCATCCATAGTCAAAACAAGTTTACTGTTGTCCTTACTAGCCTCTTCTTTTAGTTTTTCCTTTTCAGCACGAGCTAAATTTTTTTTCTCCAAATGCTGCTGAAACTGTTCATCATTTATTTTGCCGACAGAATACCCAGTGCAAGTGTCGCACTGATCTTTCCTAAAAAATAAAAATTCTTGTAACAAAAAAAAAACGTTTTCTATTGTTCTGTATGCTTAACTTACTTTGGCTTAAATAAGGCTATACGTTGCTTATCGAGCTCCTGACGAAAAGTTGTATTATTCAGTTTGGCTATCTTTGCAGCCACACACTCATTGGTATAAAATTTGTATAGTTCATTAACGCTGGTCCACTGTGTATCTAAATACAATTTATTAGTGTCTTTCCTACAGTAGTGGCTCTCCATTTTTGGAATTTTCTCTAAAAACTGGATTAGGAAGGCTTTATCTTCGGATATCTTGCCTTTTCTTGAACTCTTTGTAGTTTGAACTGCAATGTTTTGTTCTCCTTGACTAATCCAATTTTGCACACTCCATTCGCCTATACCTAATGTTTGCAGAAACATTTTCTTGCATACCCGTTTTCGAGAATTGGATTTCTTAAGGAAAAAAATATACGAAGTACTTCGTTGCTTTTCTGGAGTAACTGAAATGCAATGAAGGTTTGTAAAATGTGATTTACGGAAACAAATTTTTATAAATACCTGTTCGATGATACTTCACCGGTTCTTTATCTACAAGGCTGGTAACATAAATTTTCTTCTGATTCCAGTCCAAATTTTTCCAAAACATATTGAAAATATTTTTTCTGTCGTCGTCTTCAAAAATATTGCAAAAAAATTTTAGAGATCTTTGCGAATTCTTACATTGACATGGAGGTCCCATCTTTCGCTCGTCTCGTTCAATTTTTTTATACTTGTTGTCATCTTTATCTAGTTGACAGGATTGGTATGATTCTCCCTTCATTCTTTTCAGTTTATTTTTATTTCGTTCCCAGTTTAAATAATTGACGTCAGATTTCCTTGATCTTTTTCTCATTATGGGCGATGTTACTGTTTCTGTCTCATTTAGTAATTCATTTAGCGACTGGTTATGTGTTTCTTCATCTGATTCATTGGACTCGGTTGATGCCATATATTCCGATCCACTATCTTGGAAAGGTTCGCTATCGGAATTTTCATCTTGAAAATTTGGCATATCAGTGGTTATGTTTACGTTATTTGATACCGCTGATGGTGGTTCCTCGACCACGCTATTAACTTCTTGAGGTTCATCTGAGCTGCTACTCTGTATTGTACTGTAAAAAACATCAAATTCATAACCAATAAATTATTAAAATATGAAATTAAACTAAATTAAGAATACCTATCTTAAAAATTTAACAATTATTTTAAGAACTCAATCATCAGAAGATTGATAGTACATAGTTGAATTCATTAATAATTAATTTACCTATTGATAAGAACCTGAGTTCTTGAAACATTTGTCAAGATTTTAAGATAAGTATACCTAATTTAGTGGAATTTTACATTTCAATAGTCATAACAATCACTATAAAATTCATAACCAATATTTTCATAACTTTATAATTCAATGGCATAACGTTAACTCTTATAATTCACGTTTGCATAAAAGTATTTTATAAACAATCATTATTTGCTTTATTGTAATTTACACCATGCCCTACTTTTTCAGTGAGAAAGAAAGCAGACTTAACCTCAAACGATAAATAATAATAAAAATATAAGAAAAAGGCAAAAAATCACTTACCCATCTGTATCAGCTTGCAACACTAAATTCAAAATTGTTTTTTCCACGACTACAAGACATATTTTTCAAAACAAAACAACAAAACTGCGTTTATTCACAAGAGTGAAACACAAAACCTAAAAAAAACACTTGCCGCATTCCGGTAAAACCTCACAACATTGTATTACTACATAAAATATCCGAGCAAATGTAAATATAAAAAACTCGTAAGTCCTACTTAATAGGTTTCTGCTTTACACTTTTTGCTAAAGAGTTTTTACTAGTTTTTGATAGATGTCACTAGAGGTCTTAATGTTGAAATAGACTTATGAGGATTTGTAGTTTAATAGATAGCAATATATAAAAATTATTGGTAAATTAATCCCAAAACTGGAAAATTTTGACTTACGAGGTTTTGCACTTTAGCCATCGATATGTAACTTAATTTCTTT